TAACAACTCCGAGTTAACAGCAGCAAAATTCATCGAAAATGAGCTCCGACTGCATATATAAGGCTCGGCTTGTGTGTCATGCCTTGAATCATGCTTCGATGGGCATTTCACTCTTTATTACGATTCGAATTGGCTGAGTCATGCTTGCCTTATATCTTCGCAAACTCTCACTTTTTCGTTTCAAACCGAATGTACGTGAAGAACAACAACTGCCGATCGACAACAACTGCCGATCGATCGCTCGTGTTGTTGTTGTGAACAACAACGCGAGCGATGGACGGAACAACAGGACCGATCGGCAGTTGTCATTGGTATCTTGCTACCTAGAACTGGCATCGGTCGTTCGAACAACTGCTCAAATTTATACTGGCTTGCAACGAAAGGCGAAACAGTTGTCATGGCAGACTAGTCTGCCTCGACTTACCATTGCTAGGTCTCCAACGACTTCGCACGATTTCGACATCTGCATCCGCAACGAGTTCCGACGTCGCTCACCAGACAAGTATGATCGCCAAACCTACTACCATAGAATCTCCCAATCTTTCCGGATTGACTCGATTGACCTGATATCCACCGGACCTGCTCTTGATAATACGACATGGGACGAAGGTGAGCTACTCTCTGTTGCCTAGTGGACAACAGATAGGTCTTCACGAATTGGGCCTATCAAGTAGCTCGGAACCTGACACATAACAGTGGTCCTTAATACGCGCACCCCGAGCGCTGATGTTTGACACCGCGAGATGCAGAACAACTGTGAGAATGGACCACTTGGCTCCGAGACCTGGCAAGCAAAACGAACGGCCGAGCACGACAACTTCAAACACAATCGTTCGGTATATAGGGCAACTCTGGCGCCCATCCAAATCTATCCATCGCCTACTATATCCTATCTATCTTCTATCTATATATACATTGTCAAATAACACACCTCCAGAACAAGCTACTATGAATCTGACTACCCAATCATCCCACATCGGCAATCTCCAATCATGAACTGCGAGCAACATTGAGCAGTTCAAATCACAGGACTCCCTCCAGCATTGGGGAAACCAAAGAGAAGACCAACCTTACAGAAGCACCTCGGCATGGAGGTATCAACACCACTGCACATACGAAAAAATGAGAAGAATTATTGGTTTTTCTAAAAGACTAGCACAAAGAAACTCAGAACGCCCTACGCGTCGCGACCGGCGCCAGCCCGCGCGCACAGAATAGGCAGTACGCTGATCGAATCCACCTCGAGCATGGACTGCGAAAGATACCTCAAACACACTGAGCACACTACAGGACTGCCGCGCGTTTCATGTGAGGAACGACTCACGGTAGACTTACTAACCTAATACATTGCGTACAATGACAATCAAAGCCGACCTCAAGACAGTGCCTACATATATATCTCTATCCGGAAGAGACCGGGGTACCAGGCCTGAACCCACCTCCACCCATTGATTGCATGCAGAGCAGCCAACTGTGAGCAAGGACTGAAGATCGCAGCGCGAGACTCTCCATGAAACTCTTCCTCGAATTGACCTGACGATCTATTAATCTCTCACTCTGCAACTAGACAGAGAGAAGCGACACAGCTGCATTTTTCATGCCATCATCATCGCTTCTGCTATACTAGCATGATCGCGAACCTGGAACAAAACAAACTGAGCGAAGTCTTACCCAGCTGCTTTCGCGAGATGATATTTGACGCCAGGACAAGATGATGCACGAACACTGGCACATAACGAGGCGCCGTCTCTGTTAAAACAAGCGACCCACTGCGAGCTCACCGAAAAAATGATAAAACCATATAGACGATCATAGAGCCCGCACAAGAACTGAATAACCGATATCGTTGTACCACGAGAACATCTACGCATACAGGAAAAGTGCAATTGCGATTGAGAATTCACAAACATAACACAAAGGGAGCCTTACCGTTTCCGAATACCACGAGCAGTTTACCACGAAAAGGGACATTTCAAAATCCGTGGGTATTTACAAGATACACGATGCAGCGTTGCTGGATACGGCTAAACTACTTCTCAACAAAGATTACGCCGACCTCACAAGTGAGGAACAACAGAAAGTCATGGATTACGGCTGAAGTACGGTACTATAGTTACATTTTCTTAACAAATAGTTCAGTCGAGAACAACAAACTTAAACAGAACCTGAGGGATGACTTTGCCAAAGGCACAGACAACTATCCCCATACTAACCATGGCGTATTACACCTCCTGGACAAACACACCAATAGTAACACACCACGACAGTACACTTCCCACGGAAGCTCATTTGCTCAAACAGCACAAGGCGGGAGAAGACGGGGTGGTGGCCACAGTAGGACAGAAGGCCGCCCACACACACACACCGACGAGCGAGTACTGCCGGAAAGGACAAGGCGATGCTTATAACTCGCCACAGACAGGCCACTCAGTGAGGAGGGTCACGGTCCGGACATATGAAAGGTCTCGTCTCATGCGAAGAAGGACTAAGTCAGAGCGAGAGTCAGTAGCAAACAGTCCTCCTACAAACAGAGGAACAACCTTCAAACCAAAGGCTGCATGGTACAAAATTATGCCTCCCAAGAAAAACTTAATTTGGGAATGATTCTGTAGATCCCACTATAATTTCTACTTTTCAAAATGTTTAACCACTGAGTTGTGTTGGACCAATATTTTGACAGACCAACCCTGCAGAAAACATGGGTTGGGGAGATCTAGATATATGGGGCTGGATGGATACATGGGGGTGGAGGACATGCATATTGCAAATGGGCCACTGGAGGGGGAGGAGAGGAGAGGGAGGGAGTTAAATAGAGGGTGGAGCAGAAAAGGAGTCTGCAAGTGGAGGAGGCAGAGGTGCAGGAGGAGCTGGGGAGCCAGAGCTGGACTCATCAGGGGATACATTGCTGTGCTGGGGCATAGGGAGCTATAGGAGATCTATGATTGCCATCATCTTCATGCAACTTCTTTCCATGAGTATGGCATCCACAAAGGGGCAAAGACATCAGAGAGAACATCACAAAGTGGGCTGACTAGGGTGGAGTGTAGGTGGGCAGGTGAGAGGCTCTGTCGTGTGGTTGTCTGGTCCACACTCGGGCGGAGGTCGTGCGCCAGAATTGCCTTGCGGAGTGCATGAACTACTGGCGGCGTGATGTGACAACTTCATGGGGTTAAGAACCTACATCGGCATGAGAGTACGATTTACCCGTACGATTGCAGGCGCAAACGAAGGACACGATGAGAGTTGCTGAAAATATTGGTGCTGTGCGGGGCAAGTTCGTATACTATTGCCAGACATTTTTGATTTGCGTAATATTGAAAAGGAGCCAATGGCGCAACGGTCACAATTTCTCCCCTTCGAGGTCCTTAGCCGCTCAAAAGCTTAGGTGTACATGCAACTCGGGAAGGACGACAACAACGAGCACTAGCAAAGCGTACCGTACTCAGCAGCGTCACAGAGCAAACCCTTTTGTTCTCCCAGATTGGTGGCTCCGCAACTGGCTCTCCGGCTGAAGGGGGCTTCTCACCTGGCGAGGTCTTCTGCGTTCGTACACTTTGAACGATTCGATTCCAGCACTTCCATCCACGCGGCTCCAGCTATCGACTGCTACCTCGATGACGACATGGTTGCCGATCGATGACTTTCGTAAAACCTCCTCACTCTGTGCGAAAAAGCCTGGAAAGTCGCTCCTGAATCGAATCTCCTCGAATACAAGGCCGCTTGAGCTTGGTCTTATTGTTGGTATTACACCAAAGACCAGAGTCAGCTAGCTCCAGACTCTTTTTCTGGTGTTGTTGGTCTTGTTTGTGCTGATACATGTACATGCACTACCCGCAGCATATCATGGGAGCCTTGGCCGGCATTCGCCCGATTTCTATCTTTTTTTTGTGTGCTTGGTTTTGCCTTCATTTCATGGTCAGCAGAGATAAGCAACTCCCCAATGGATGTTCGATCAATACCGTGGTGCTTTCTAGCAAGCCAACCGCAGACCACAACGTACTGTACCTACGGTAGGGAGTTCCAAACAGATTGACCATATCCTTGGATTCTGAACACTTTTGCTGGTGTGGTTTGACCAAAGTCCACTACTGTATGTGAGGGGCCAGCAAAGGACGAGCCACCCAAAAGAGATGGAAATCAGAGGAAAGCAGAGGCCAATGATCGATACCGTAGAGTACATCAGTCTAGTTAGACTAGACTACGATAGCTAAAGTGGAGTGCTGTCTTCTTTGTTTGGGGCAGCAACAAACTCCTGAGCCATGGAGGCCGGCGAGGGCACGGCGATCGAGAATTGAGATGCCATGGGATGCGCAGACGACGATGACTTGAAGTTCCCCAATCCGAGTCATGTTCCAACGGGTTCATTTATGACCTGACTTTCTTCTGCTCACTTTTTCAATCAGTTTTTAAAATGGTCAATCGAAGCTGCATGTTGCTGCCAAAGTGGCAACAATGCCTTTGGAGCAGTACGTCGTACATCGTATCACAATACAACACTAATAGAAACATACGATGAAGAATTCCAAGAATTCCAACCGAGACTACGAGTTCTACGAGTATCTAAGAATAAGGACACCTTTACGTTTTCCGGTAAGATCTGGTTTGAGCGCCAAGAAATCCTTCCACAGCTTTGATACACGAGGAAAGATCTTCCCCGCCTTTAGAAGAACCGGCGTTGCTCAAGTCCAGACCACTATTTTCTGCAAGAAATCCATCAACCTGCACATCAAAATGTGGGCTACGAGGAAATAATTGATGGGGGGCGTAGAGTTCAAAAGGAGCATGTTTGAGGGCCAATCACCGCCGTGGGTTTTGAAAACAGCCCGAAAACAGCTGCTAACGGGTGCACTGAACAGACGTAACTTATAGAAATGATTGTGTGTGTGCTTTATACTTTATTAGATCATATGAAATTTGTAATGATACTTCTTTGGTTTGATTTGGTGGTTTGAGATACACATAGATATTTTACTCCGTCGCAATAATCGACTCCCTGGCAATTACTCGATGACCCCTTGCATGCGGTTGCGTGCTTCATAGGAGTCGGTGCCCATGAGCTGATCAATACGGTTGGGTCCCATGTTGAGGTGGTGAGTAGGAGAAACGTGATGCTTGATGTGGTTCTCCTTGCATTCCTTTAGGTATCCCGTCACAGGAACGTGCGAGTGGCAAACAGCATGCAGAAAGGAATAGACCAAGGCACTGGCTTGATACGTTGCAAAGCAGGTTGTCACAATGGCAGCAGGGGCGCCAAGAGCCACAGCACCGAATGAAATGCCCAGAACAACGTGAAACCAAACCGCGCTAATTCGCAGGGACTCGACAGAAAGATGGTAGTAGGGAAGGTCATGGTGACGATCGTGGCTCTTGAAAAAGTCCATGGCACGGCCGTCTCCTTCCCCATGAAACCAACGGGAGTGGACGGCCCACTCTTGCACTTCCCACATCAAGCGGGCAGTTGGAATCGCGATCAAATCGGCAAAGCCGAGAGGAGTGCCGCAAAGAAAGAGTCTGAAAAGGCAAGTGAATGCAAACACAGAAGTGATAAACCAACCGGCTCCGTGTGTGAGGTAACCGACAATCACATCCTGCATGGTTTTGGGTGTGGTGAATTGGACACCAGTCGCCTTCAACTCCTCCACAATTTCTGGGTCTTCTGCCTTCAAAGCTTGCAAGCTGATCATACCACCCTTGTTTGGATTCGCCTCTTGGATAGCAGCAGCGAGGGATTCCAGGCGATCCCAACGTTCTGTCGTTTCTTCCTTCTCCATAAGCAACTTCTTGAATGGGTTCACACCAAAGTCATCCCCAGCAAAAGATGCAGACAAAGGAGAAGGCGACAATTTCCGAGCAGCAAGTGTGTTGGTTGAAAATGACAGCACGGCAGGAGCGGCCATTGCGGCGGAAAGGAGGAAACCAGAGATCTTCATGTTTGCTAGATAGAGTTTTGTAGTTGAAGTGGTGTTTTTTCGAGGTTGGTGTTTTCGATTTTAGGATTTGAATTTTATGAAGAAGATGATGGCAAGGAAGATCTTGGGTGATCGATGGCTTCGCGAGGCTGTGGATGCATTGATAGCTCAGCCACAAGGATGTTTTGATGTTTTGTTGCGTTATCGTGCATTTTGGTCCGTGTAAATCTCTTCTCTCAGCCACAACACTAAAGGTGTCTAAGTCATCGTGCTCCTCAGCTCTCTTTCGTAAGGCATGAGCGCTGTCATCAAGTAAAACTACTCAGCTACAGTACAGTACCGATACACATTTGAACATTTGAACTGAACCATGACCTCGGTGGTTACGAATGTTGCGGGATTCAATATCACATTGAGGTAAACTTACAGGGAAGTGTTCTCCATTCTACAGTGGAACCACCACCGAAAATGGAACCACCGTATCGATCACAGTATCGCTCTGGGCCGTACGCGCAGAGCAAGTAAGTGCACTCGTAGCTGTATCGGTAAAACTCCAAGACACAGTGGCGACTTTTGCTGCGTCGTCCCCGGGTCCAGGCCCCCATGTAAGATTTGCAAGCGTGGCTCGTGTCTGTGCTACAAGGTGGCTGTGTAGCTTGGGAGCTTGGGGGCTTGGGGCTATGATATGTAGCTCGGAGCTAGACTACTAGCTAGTACCGTGTGGGGTTGGCTCAGCGAGCTATGGAGCGAGTTGCTGCAGTGAAGCTGTCAGCGGAGTGATAATATATCGTGCTTGTGCAAAACTCAATACTGCAGCACTGCAGCCACATGAAGTTGACCAAACGCAAGAGAATACAGCCTTTGGAAAGACCTTGTTTGGCACGCAGTGGTGGTTCCGTTCCATACCACGGTGCCTTGCAACCACTCACATGATTTAATTTTCTCGGTCCTACAGAACTGCTTGCCTAAGCCCTTCTTCTTGACGTCTCTTGATCGGGGAAACGGGAGATACGAGAGTTTGAGGTTGAGTTGCAAAGTCAATCATAACTACCGTACAGTACCTATTCTCCATTCAGCCGCACCCTTCGTAACAGCTTCCATGCTTAGGTCACAGAGACCTAAAAAGATTTGCGAGCGCTGCTCTGCTGTATTTGCCTTGAGCCAATCTAGTAAAGCCAAGCTACTAGCTAGAGTACAACGCACAGATTCGATTGGCCAATCTAGTAAAGCCAAGCTACTAGAGTACAACGCACAGATTCGATTGAATTGGATTCGATTCGATTCAGAAAGCCAATTCATATTAAAATGCAAGACGGCCCCAGTCACAGGTACGTAGTACGGTTGCAGCAACCTGAATGGTAAGCTTTTCACGTTACTCGAGCACAGGTACAGATCGAAGAAACTTGTCAGGTTGCAGGTTAGAGGAGGGACGGTACGTAACCTGATACATAACCAAAAGTTGAGAAGAAGTGTTTGGTCCGAGTCGTAACTACGAAATGCCATCTGCAGGGCCAGCCTCTCGTTCACTGCATAATAGGCTCCTTCTTGACGTCCTTGTCTCTTCCAACTTCCAAGATACCCAAGAGATGTATTAAAGTGCACGCCCACAATAATATATGCCAGGAGGAGTTCAACAACTTCCCAACTGAGAAAAGAGGTTACATCGCTATGATTGATCGTGCAGTATGAAACGCAATCAAATAATGCCCGAAGCACGAAGAGCTAAATGTTACAGTCCAAAAGCACATCTACAGTTTGGTGTCTTTGAACTCCATCATTCTACCAAAAAGAACTTCCGAGATGACCCAACGAAGTGGGCCAGCACTTGGTTTTTTCAATCCTGGTCTCCTCCCAAGACAAAAATTAACCTTGCGGTGGAGCCCAGCTGCTGGGAATGACTGAACCCTCAGGTCATCTATATATTATGTGAAGTCTGCTTGCCACCATGATGGTTCGTTTCTAGAGGGTAGCCCAAATGGGCTCTTGGACCTCCCAGATACCCTTGGCACACTTTTGGAAGATGGCCTCTTCGTCCTTGGTGAGTGGCAAGACAGCGACACGCTAAAAAAACAAACACGATATGTGAGCGGCATGCCGATGGCGTTGCTTGTGACGGGCGTGACACGCAATTTTCTGGACTTGCCTGTACTCCATTGCTGGAGAGACTGCAGGGAACCGAGAGGAAGACATCGTCTTCGACACCGTAAAGCCCACGGACACAGGTAGAGACAGGGACGATGGTACGAGTGTCATTGAGGACGGCTTTGGCCAAATACGCCGTGGACATGCCAATGGCCCTGTGTACATGTAGAGTCAGAGTCGGTAGTGTGAGTTTTCAACGACAAAAAGAACAATCAACACTTGTAGCTAGCTTGCCAGCTAGAGCAACCAATACCAATAGATAGTATGCATTGTATTGTATCGTATCGTATCGTATCGTACCAGTTGGTGTATCCCTTGAGGTTAATGACATCATAGGCCGAGTCCACAACCGCCTTGTGAATGGCCTTGAGTGTATCATCGGGTTCCTGGCCAGGGTCCAACAAAGGGAGAGCACCGACACGGACCGAAGACCATACAGGGATGGAAGAATCTCCGTGCTCACCAATAATGTATCCGTGGACATTGCGTGGGTCCTAAAGACGGAATAGCATTCATGAAAATTGGCAGGTTAGAAGAAAAAACACATTGCCTGTATGTTTCACACCCCAGAAAAAACTGCAGCTCGAGCTCAACAAAAAGATACCTCCGCCATGAACATGAACTTCTTCTTGATTCGTATGACTGATTACTGTACGTACCAAATCCATGGAGGATGCCATGAGCATTTGGAATCGCGACGAGTCGAGGTTGGTTCCCGCACCAAAAACTTTTCCCTGCGGATAGTCGGGTCCGGCAATCTTGGCCGCAATGGCCGTCATGATATCACAAGGATTACTGACGATCAAAATAGTGGCATTGGGACTGTACTTGAGTACTTCGGGCATGATCATTTTCATAATCTTGGCTGTATGTAACACAGAATTTTGAGAAACGAAACGATGAATGATCAGAATGATATCAGCAGCAATGACACAAAGACTGTGCATGACAAGAGTGTAGATCTTCTCTATGTTTCGTGCAGCCACGTACCATTTCGTTCTACCAAACTGAGACGGGATTCTCCGGGTTTTTGGGCCACACCGGCGGTAATGACGACCAAATCGGAATTGGCAGAAACATCGTACTTGTCGGATGCCAAAATGGTGGTGGTTTGATGGAATCCTCCACCCTGTTGGAAATCCTTGGCTTCTCCTTCGAGTTTCTTGGTGGCGATATCTACCATGGCAATGGTCCCGCAAATATCTTGATTGAGAATGGCTGTCACGCAGCCCAGACCGACTTGTCCCATGCCAACGACGGTCACTTTTTTGCTGTTGAAATTCCCGACGGGAACCGTATCGGGAGCACTTTGGGGCATACTGCCCGAGTAGGGAATCGTATTGACCGTCTTTTTGGCACGGTATTCTCGAAAGTCTAATAATGAATATAATAGAAAAAACACAGATGAATGAATGAGTGAGTGGGTGGTGGGATATAAAGTTGGTACAGTATCCTTGGGAAAACTGAGAGGGGAGCTTTGGTAGTCACTTACACTCGCGAAAGCTGTACAGTACCCAAATAAACACAGAAAAGAATCAACAGGTAGACTAGCAGTGAGCATCAAGATTTCGTTCAACCGCAAAAAGACCATTTTTGGCTGTCGCACGGTATCAATTTGCTTTCATTTCATGTCACATCACATACCGATCATCGGGCGGAACAAGGTTGGACGACATGGCTTTGGTGGTTGTTGTAGAAATAATTGGACGCAAGGAAACCTTGGTTGCTTTGTAAGAAGCTGTTCGATGGATGGATAATAATGAGAACAACATCGGAGCGCCTCCAGGATAGTGCTCGAATCATTCCTTTTTGGGAAGCCCAGGTAGCACCAATCCAATCCAATCCAAGCCAAGCCAACCAAAAACACCAGCAACAGATGGTGCTTGGCAAATAAGATTCATTTTGCTTTGCTTTCTCACAACGTGCCGTGCATGCGAACTCCGAAAGATCCTCCAATCATACCAAGGAAGGCACAAAAGATCCGGCGACGTCATCGGAGGAAGTTAGTTCCGAGGACCTTCTGGATCCATTCAGATCTCGACTGAGTCGAGTCACTCAACAACTCCCACGCTTATTAATCTACTACCCAGTGAGGCTGTCTTTCGTCTTTGGCAGTCCCGCCTCGACTCGACTTGGCTCTTTGGGTACTGGAACCCGAATTAACAATACGCATTAGGGATTAGGGTTACCAGAGAAGGGGTACAGTACTGTGGTACTGACTAGCTAGCTAGACAGAGTAACAAGCCTTTTGTAAATAAAGACCAGCATTAATTTTTAAAATAGTATTTTGTTTTCATACTTTTTTAAAAAAAGAGGGTTTCATTTCAAATGGAGCACCTCGGGCGATCTCGCGCGATATCGCGCGATCTCGCGCGATCTCGCATGAGGTGTTCGTGGGACTCAATTTGAAATGAAACCTTTCTTTTTCAAAAAGTTTGAAAACAAAATACTATTTTTAAAGTCTGTGCTGGGACTGGTGCCCTACAGGCAGTCAAGCAAGTTGCGGGAGGTCAGGTAGGTAGATATGGGGTACATGGGCAAATCCAACGGTTCTAGGCAATAGCCGATTACTTGATTAGCTGTAATGTAAAAGCCATTGATGATGATACTACCATACCAACAGCAAGTGACGAAGAAACCTCAAGAATCGAAACCTCAACCAGAGTGAGTCGTTGCCTCTCTGATGGACAGTTGCAAGCGCTAGGGTCTGTGACTTTTACTAGCCGCTGGATAGAAAGATGTGTCATGGTAATGAACGAACAAAGCAAAGCAAGTCACCATGCCATTATCCGGTTGGCCATCTTTCTTCTTTGGAACTTGGAAATACATGCATCACCTTGTTGCACAGATTGCAGATGTGAGCCGAATCGAATCGCCACCACAAACAACACAAACCTTGGTTCTGTGCAAGCTTTGGAAGTCTTTTTAAAACCAAATGAATCCATGCATATGAGCGCAGAGTTTATCCAGTCTGCCACACACAATCTGCCCGTTGCATCCTGAACATGCACCCTGCGCCAACAATGAATGTGGAAGTGGTGGAATGGCTGCTTGCTTGATGATGGAGTGGGTAGCTTTCGCTTGTTTGGTCTTGTTGTTGGAGACCAACTGGCGATTCTGAGGCTGCTTTGTTGCCACTCGAACGTTTTCGTTCGTCACCAGCATACTTTCGAGTGGTTGGTGTACGGTATATTGGCACATCTGCTTTGCAAGTTTCTCTCGGAAACGAAAAAATCCATTGGCTTATCAATCTGAAGTCCAAGCAGGATCAAGGTTTCCTTCAGCACAGCCACTCAAGGTATGGTACATGTCATGATAGGCAACAACAATTGCGATTCCCTTAGCATGGAGCATTGCGGAGTGCCAGTACTTCCAAGACCTGATCGCAGAAAGAGAATAACAAATGTTAGAGATAATAGATCGAAACAGTTTGTTTGTCCATCAACAGAACTTACCTGTAGCAGAGTCGGCAGTTTACGTGGCTTTGAAGGTATACTAGACTATTGATACGGTAGCCAAGAGAGCCCCGAAACTGGGCTACGCCGTACGCAGAAATGGAGAAACTCAAGCTAGCTAGATAGCTCGGTCCATTCTGCCGTCTGAATATGGCATGGGGACTTTCTCTAGCTAGTTGAGACCGAGTTTCCTTCCATTCCAAGGAAGGAAAATCGAGCTATGGTACTGTCCACAGAGTTNNNGGGACCGGACAGCTACGTTCTTGGAGATTAAAAATAATGGCGAATGATTAAAAGGCATCCGTCCTAGCATGCAGCAATTTTGTTCGACGCAATGTGAAGGGCATGCATGCAGCCACATGTGCTCGTAATGAATGAAACCGAGCTGAAGGAAAGCGGCGCAAGTCGCTTGGAGTGCAAGTCGCTTAGAGTGCTCGTAGAATGAATGAAAGCTCTGGCCAGCAAGCTCCAAGGACGTGGCACTCTTGAGCAAGAAAAGTCAAAAAGAGATTTTCGCGACAAAGGGCAGGGGAAATTGTTGTTGTTTGTGTTTGGTATTTGGGTTGATTGTTGTGTGTAGCATCATTGATGAGGCAGGTTAGTAGTCAGATAGCCACCAGGTATTAACTTCGATGCAAGCATCTGTGGGACGTTCACGCACTCTGCAATAGAGATGTCGCTTAGCACTGGAACCACAAACCAGGCTACCCTTAAAGTATGGCTTAGACTTTGAACTAAAACTGCACTCACCTCCGCTGTGAATTGAATAGTTGAATGCACCCGCCAGTGCTCCAATGTGAATTGAATAGTTGAAGCACCACCAGTGCTCCACGAGTGAAAGTTGAATGCACCCACCAGTGCTTCAACGAAAAGTTGAATAGTTGAATGCACCCACCAGTGCTTCAACACAAAAGGTTGAATAGTTGAATGCACCCACCAGTGCTTCCAACGCGAAATGTATCGTGAAAAGTTGAATGCACCCACCAGTGTTGCTTCAACACAAAAGGTTGAATAGTTGAATGCACCCACAGTGCTTCAACACAAAAGTTGAATAGTGAATGCACCCACCAGTGCTTCAACGCAAATGTATCGTGAAAAGTTGAATGCACCCACCAGTGCTTCAACACAAAAGTTGAATAGTTGAATGCACCCACCAGTGCTTCAACGCGAAATGTATTGTGAAAAGTTGAATGCACCCACCAGTGCTTCAACGCGAAGCGTATTGTGAAAAGTTGAATGCACCCACCAGTGCTTCAACGCGAAATGTATTGTGAAAAGTTGAATGCACCCACCAGGTGCTTCAACGTGAAAAGTGAAAAGTTGAATCACCCACCAGTGCTTCAACACAAAAGTTGAATAGTTGAATGCACCCACCAGTGCTTCAACGCGAAATGTATCGTGAAAAGTTGAATGCACCCACCAGTGCTTCAACACAAAAGGTTGAATAGTTGAATGCACCCACCAGTGCTTCAACGCGAAGCGTATCGTGAAAAGTTGAATGCACCCGCCAGTGCTTCAAGACGAAATGTTGCATGCACCCACCAGTGCTGCAATCAATGTGTTGTGTTTGTGTCGTGTCGTGTCGTGACATAACCTGTAAATGAAAGGCATGAGAAAGTTAGTGAATGAATGAAATGTGTTTGGTTGGGAGGCAATGACACAGCAAACAAATTGACTTATCTTTCGTTTCTTTTGTCCCCCATGGAGGAGGGGGCCGGCCTCTGTGTTGTTCATTCGTCTCCAAGTGGAGGCCCTATATGAAAGAGAACAAGCATTAGCAGTTTGGTGTCACTCCAAGTGGAGGATGGTGGGGTGGACAAAAGCAATAGCAATGCACGACACACCATAAGACAATTGGGAACTTACCTTGCACCTGGCCAGGATTTGTGTTGGTTGTGTCATTTCCAAGTGGAAGCCTATGTGAAAAGAGAACAAGCATTAGTAGTTTGGTGTCACTCCAAGTGGAGGATGGTGGGGCGGACAAAAGCAATAGCAATACACGACACACGATACGACGATTGGGAACTTACCTTGTGCCTGGCCAGGACTTGTTGTTGGTTGTGTCATTTCCAAGTGGAAGCCTATGTGAAAAGAGAACAAGCATTAGTAGTTTGGTGTCACTCCAAGTGGAGGATGGTGGGGCGGACAAAAGCAATGGCAAGCACGCACACAAAAAACAATTGGGACTTACCTTGTGCCTGGCCAGGACTTTGGTGTGTGTGTTGTGTCATATCCAAGTGGATGCCTGTAAGAAAGAAACCTATAAGAAAGAAACCTACATGCAAAGAAATAAAGGTTGAGGCTGTGAAAGGAAGAGACAATTGTCGTGAGTAAGGCTGTGAAAGGAAGAGACAATTGTCGTGAGTAAGTGTCGTCACCAAGTGGTGGCCTGCAAGCAACAGATTGAATGGGTGAGGCTGTGAAAGGAAGAGACAATTGTCGTGAGCAAGGCTGTGAAACGAAGAGACAATTGTCGTGAGTAAGTGTCGTCACCAAGTGGTGGCCTGCAAGCAACAGATTGAATGGGTGAGGCTGTGGAAGGAAGAGACACGTCGTTAGCAAATTGTCACTCCAAGTGGAGGCCTACAAGAAAAGAGATTGAATGGGTGAGTTGTCGTCGCCTCGCCTGCACCCCGCCAGTGCTTTGTCGCCTGCACCCACCAGTGCTTTGTGTGCTCGTCTTTATTGTCCCGCCAGACATTCTAGCTGTCATCCCGCCAGATGCATTGTGTGTTGATTGCCCGTCTTTATTGTCCCGCCAGACACTCTAGCTGTCTCCCACCGGATCAGCCATTGATTGTTGATTGCCCGTCTTTATTGTCCCGCCGGACACTCTAGCTGTCTCCCACCGATCAGCCATTGATTGTTGATTGCCCTCTTTATTGTCCCGCCAGACACTCTAGCTGTCTCCCACCGGATCAGCCATTGATTGTTGATTGCCCTCTTTATTGTCCCGCCGACACTCTAGCTGTCTCCCACCGGATCAGCCATTGATTGTTGATTGCCCGTCTTTATTGTCCCGCCGACACTCTAGCTGTCTCCCACCGGATCAGCCATTGATTGTTGATTGCCCGTCTTTATTGTCCCGCCGACACTCTAGCTGTCTCCCACCGGATCAGCCATTGATTGTTGATTGCCCGTCTTTATTGTCCCGCCAGACACTCAGCTGTCTCCCCCGGATCAGCCATTGATTGTTGATTGCCCGTCTTTATTGTCCCGCCGACACTCTAGCTGTCTCCCACCGGATCAGCCATTGATTGTTGTTGCGTCTTTATTGTCCCGCCGACACTCTAGCTGTCTCCCACCGGATCAGCCATTGATTGTTGATTGCCCATCTTTATTGTCCCGCCAGACACTCTAGCTGCCTCCCACCGGATCAGCCATTGATTGTTGATTGCCCGTCTTTATTGTCCCACCAGACACTCTAGCTGTCTCCACCGGATCAGCCATGGTTGTTGTTTGCTCTCTTGGAGACGTTATTGTCCCGCCAGACACTCAAGCTGTCTCCCGCCGGATCAGCCATTGTTGTTGTTTGCTCATCTTGGAGTTTATTGTCCCGCCAGACACTCTAGCTGCCTCCCACCAGATCAGCCATTGTTGTGTAGATTTGCTTTGCGACCCACCAGACACTTGCAGTTGTTGTTGTATTTGCCACCACCGGCATTGGATCGTCCATCACCATTTGTTGATCCATGTTTGTTGTTGTTGTCGTCGAGAACATTGCAAGGAAGATTGCAACAATGACAGTCATCCCGAAGAACCTCATGAACCATTGGAGGCACGACCAAAGGTCGATTGTTTGTTGTTGGTCGTACATGTAGTATTCGTCTTCGAATCGTTGAAATTCGTACATGTAAATGTCTTCCTCTGCATCAGGCTCGACAAAATCGACGATTGGTTGTTGGTCGTACATGTAGTATTCGTCTTCGAATCGTTGAAATTCGTACATGTAAATGTCTTCCTCTGCATCAGGCTCGACAAAAGCGACGATTGGTTCTTGTTCTTGTTGTTGGTCGATGTCCATCGCCTCTACTACAGGCTCGACGACAGCGACGATTGGTTGTTCTTCTTGGACAATTGCAGCGACAATTGGTTCCTCTTCTTCTTCGACAATGGCATGTCGAATTTCGGCTGGTTGTTGCTCCCACAGTGTCACTTCCTGTCGAAGTTCTTCCACTGCTTCAGGTGTGAGAGAGAATGCCTTGTTGTAGTTGAAACCATGCGTTTGACGTTTGTCCTCATTGGGGTGAACATAATTTTTCCACTTCATCTTGGGAACATCAAGGCGTTCCCAGCACTTGTTCTTGTCGAGCTCAGCATACATGTCGTCAGTGTAACGTGAAGTCATGGCTCGGATCTCGTTAATGCGTTCATCCTTTTCAACGTCTTCCCTCTTGCCGTCGTCACCAATGTGGTAGGTGTAATCGACTTGCATGACATCCTCGTTGAATTGGACCCTGTGTCCTTTGTTGTTGGGCTTTCGTGCTCGGACTTCCGTGTCCACGTTCGAGTAGTTAGCCAGCCAGGTATCCACAGGTGCATCGTCGCGTTTGACAATGGGTTTGATGGTGTGTTCGTATTCGCCAGTTGTAGGATCGTAGACACATTGGCCAGTTACAGGGTTTCGAGTGTACCGCTTTCGCGCCTCTTTATGCTTCTGCGGGCCCTTGTCACCCAGGGTGTCAATGCCGACAAGCTTGGCGCCCCCATCATTCCACTGCAGGGCTATGAGCTCGTCAAGATCCGAGGTGGTGGTGGTGGTGGTGGTGGTGTTGTTGATGTTGTTGTTGGCCGCGTTTTCTATGGGCGTTGTCATCATGTTAATAGTATCTATGTTGGACGTCATTGTCGCGTTTGCTGTTGTTGGCGACGGTCCGTTCTTCATTGCCTCGGCCATGGTCAATTTATGTTTGAGGTGGAAACTTAAAGAAGAGCTTTTGGGATTCCTGAAGATTTGGTAGTAAAGTAGTGTTGTAGTCGGTAAGAGTGTAGCGAGATGAAGGGATTCGGCGTACGTCTAATCGAGAGTGTATATTGTCTTCCAGTATTCTAGAAAACAAATTTGTGAGCAAAGAATGAAGTTGTCACCATTGTCATGCTGTCCTTCTCCATCATCTGACGAGAAACTACCACAATGAAAACCGGGATTGGGCTCTGTCTCATTCTGTCAGCCTGCTGATTAGTTGAGATAACTCTTGTTCTAGAGCTCCCCTGCCTTTGCCGCTTGCAGCTACGTGTCCGCAAGGTATTAATTGCTGGGATAACAGAAAGAAGTCGGCCATGGTGGTCTTGTTGTTCTTCTTTGGTGTCATCTTTCTCCATGACGAGTTCCGACGATGAGATTTTTCACTATCCACGACTCACGACTGACTGACAGGTATCCTGTCTCAATACGTCACGGTACGTCATGATGTGATGCCTTCCTTGGAGCTTCTTTGGACGGTCTCCTCGCTTTTCTTGCTCCTTTAGACACTGTCAGACAAAAGGAAGAAGCTCTGCGGATGGTATCTGGGCAAACCGCAGTTTGATTGGGCAGCGGTAGCTCTTGTGGCGGCGGTGCAAGTGGAGGGCTCCCTCCAGTGGCTCTTTGGCTGTTGTTAGAGGCCCTGAACTTGTTGCTGGTTGGTAGATGTGTCCATTGGGCAGAAGGACAGCCAAGGAACATGCTGCGGTGCTGGAATGGCCTTTGGAAGGTCCCAACAATGCCCAAGAGTTGATCTTTTGGGGGTATTGAAGTCCTGACGTGATCCGATGGAACCATCCATGGGACGCTTCTAGGAGCCCTGGAGCCCTTTTGGAGCTGCGTCATGCTTCTGTGGTCAAGCCAAGAGACAGATAATACTCTGCTGGATGTCTGGATGTCTGGATGTGCTCAGGGTGGCTGGTTATCTTGGTTTCAAGTCGAATTGAAAGAGAGAAATTCCGCCTTTTTCTCGCCGAATCCTGGGATCAAGAGAGGATCCTCTCGGCCACCTTTCTGCTCACTCCTGTGAGATTGGTGGCTTTCGTCTTAAATTCGTGGACTTGCTGGTGTTGCTGCTTCGTCGTCTTGGACTTTTCGGCTTTGGCTGTTCGTTCCACTCCTGCGAGCTTGGTTGCTCGGACTCTTTCGCTTCTTTGTGTTCTGTCGTTACGTGGACCTAGCTGATCCCTGCAATCACCTTGGCGTAGGTCGCTAGTTCCTTGTTCTTGGAACGTTAGGCTTGCTTGTAGGACTAGCTGCCGTTCCGTTCCGATCCGTCGGTCGGTGGTTCCGTGTCGTTGCGCAAAACTTGGCTCGAAACTCGCTGTCGCGATCACTTGAATTTCCACCGTTTGGGCTTGAGGGTACTGCCGAATGCTTCTGTTGGTCCACTCGAAGCCTTGTTCTCGTTATAGATGTCTGTATTGATGATGTAGAGAGCTAGTGGGTGAGTTTCATAGGCTCGAGTCGCTTCCTCTTGGAGATTCAGTCGTCGGCGCTTGGCTCTTTTCTGACTCCCACCGTTCCAGCACTGTTAACTCGATTGGATGTATCTCGATGAATATTTGAAACTGGAGGCGGCCGCTAATGGCCACAGTAGCGGCTAGGTGTCTTCTTTCGATCTCTGTATGGTCTTGTAGTGGTACGGTAGCGCTGTTGGTTCGATCGCTAGCTTGCTTCGTGTAGATGGGCTGTTGCTCGCTCGGTGGGTACCTGATTTGCGCGATTGGTCATTACTCCAACCATACCATGCAGCGCAACAATTAATAGTGGCACCATTTGGTCCCTGTAATGGTCCTCACTTGCTTGCCCCTGATCCCACAGAACCTAGCTAGAGTCCTCTGTTCTTTGCTTTTAAGCCTGGACCCAGCTGCCTAACGTAGATATTTTCCCTACTCTAACCCCCCCATTAAGAATGGCTACAGATACAGCCGTTCCACGCAGGATTGAAAACAAAGGTTTTTCTTTTTTTTTGCAGCCAGCCCAACCTTTATCTTACAAGTACAAGTAGCTCATGTTTGTCCCTTGTAGCCTCTCTATCCTAGCAACCAGCACACAAATGTCTTCCCTACTACTACTACCAACACCTGCAACAGAAGGTTTGACTGGAAATGCCCCATTGTGAGAGGAGAAGGCCTACTTGTAAATGGCAAACTCGCTGGACCTGTTGAAGCCTTCTACTCTCTTGTGCCCCAAGCCAGCTATCAGTGCTTGTCCATACACCCCCACAGCACTCTGCTGTGGCCAAGAAGCACAGCGAAAGAGTCCCTTGCACCTGTACTGGCCATCCTTGTATTACAATTCCATGGAGTGATGAGTTGTCGACCGAAGCACGAGACGAGGATCCAGTTGACTGTACTAGTAGTAGGACCACTCCTGCAACTACTACAATTCCGTGGAGACAGAAGACAAGCAGCCAAGATGTACTTACGGTGCGGCACTTCCTGCTCAGTTCAACAACTGTCGTCCTTTCGGTCGTTCGACCTAGTAAATGACATGCAGACCATTGCCAACCCATCTCCTTCTGGAGTAAGTTGTTGGATGGTTGTATCTTGAGCACTGTCATTTGCTGGTGTCACCGACTGTTGCCATCTGCCAACTCCGTACTGTCTCTATCTACCACCGCTCCAATCTACCGTCTACCACCTACACCAATCACCAATCCGTTGCCACCACCAACCAACCAACCAAAACGAGCCAGCTGCTTCTGTGTTTGATGCCGCCTTTGGGCTACGCTGGAGGCTATGCCATTTTATTTTATTTTGGTCTACGCAGCTGGTCAGCAACAATGGCATAATTGTTTTGGCCAGAGGGAGTAGCGTGAAGCAACCAAAGCACGAAGCAACGAGTGACATGCACAGTCGAGTGTTCACGCCTCAAATCTTCAGGAAGCCGACAAAAGACACCGGTCAAGGATTGGTCGTGAACGAGTTGGAGAGCGACGGAAGTTACAGTGCTATATCTTCCGTCCAGTTGAACAAACCATCAAAACGACTATTGACGGATCGTCACACCGGTTGTGAGAAACCCGTCCGTACAGTCTCCCCTTGTGTGAGAAATACCGGTCGGTACAGTCTCCCAGCATCCAGTTTGTAGTGACACCCAGCATCCAGTTTCACGATTGGCATTCAACAGTCAACAGAAGCACCGGATGACGAGTTGAGTTGCATCAGCTTTGAACTCCAGCATGCTACGGCCAATGCGGCCATGAGATTTGGATTCTTTAGATTCGATTCGACCACGAACCAACGAGAGGGTCTACTTCCACAGATTGATTACTGCTTCCACCGAGCCTTTCCTCTTTCGGGAGCGACCATGACGCCAATGATGCCAACGCCAACAACACGAAAAAGTCAATGACACGAAGACTGCAATTCAATCCTTTGCGTCCTTGTTTTTTGCCAATCTGTTTCCCACTGGCACCACATCTCTTTTTTGAAGTGCCACTCGAAAGCTCATCACTCTCCTCCATCCCAGCCTTCTTCTTGGTGGGGTCGTTCTTGGTTTGGAGGTCGTGGTAGATAATGACAGTACGTGCAACACCACTGGGAACAATGACACCATGGGGATTCAAGTTGGCGTTGAACATGAGGCGATGTCCAGGTTCCATTTTGTAGACCACAATGGAGTTATGCCCTCGCCGATACCAATTCTGTTTCGACTTGAGGTCCTCCTCATATTGGAGAACAAGAGCATACTCTGCTGGGTTGGATTCTTTGAGCTCATCTTTCCATGCCACATACTTCTTGTAGTCTCCATGTTCAGTGTCCCAGTCTGGGTTTTCCCCACCACCTTTCGCAATGACAAAATGCCAGCTCCAGCCATGAACCACATAGATTGTCACATCACTCAACCCAGGCGTGTCGTAGTGCTTTGGGAAAAATTGTATTCCCTCTGACTCATTCTCATTGAAATGGACTTCTGCGGCACCAAAGGTTTCTCCCAAAGCATTCTCTCTCTCCCCCCCCACAGACAAAGCGACTGTTCTCTGCAATGTCTCCTACAAAACTGTTGCTGGCATAATGGTGGCTCTGTTCCAAGAAGAGAACTCCCGACTTGTTGTTTCCCAACACTGCCATGACATTGTGATTTGTGTCCTTGGTCATCTCTTGCAGCACCGCATCATCGTGGTACTGGATGGGGCTGTATTTGTGTTTTGTATGATTTTCCACCTTTTTCCCAATTCTCGTAGGGTTGTATTCCTCTTGGTTTTTGCTCTGAGATCTTGTACGGGTCTGGACAGCTCCTACAGGATTCTTTTTCTGTTGTGAGTTTGCAGATTCCATCTCTGGTTGATCTGATCATTCAATTTCTTGGATATTTTCAACTGTTCCAGGCGTCGTGTTTCCTGCATCATTGGTGCTTCAACATGAACAATGCCAGTCTTTTCCATTTGCCCCCTGTCCTTCTGCTTGACATGTCCCTTCTTGTAATAGTTTTTTTGGTGTTCTTTGCAGAGGCCCTTCCAGGAATTGAGGTCAACAAGCTGATCACAGTATTTGCATTGAGCAAGTGGAGGCATAGATTTTCGTTGTTCTTGCTGAGGAGGTGCCTTCATCTGCTGCTGCTGCTGGGGTTGCTGCGAATAGGGGAACCCACCAGCAGATTGGTAAGGAGGCTGGTAATGATGCTGAAATTGTGGAGGGTAGGAAGGTCCACCACGCAAAAATGGGGGTGGCCGGGTGGCCAATACCCGTTGCCAGGAGGATAGGGGTGGTGAATGAAAGGAGGAGGTGGAGGATACACACCTCCAGTTTCTAAAAGGTTTCAACACCACTGGCCAAGCCCCTGTTGCCGCTGCTTCGGTGGTGGCTGCCAAAAGGAAGCATTGTTGTTCATGTTCTTTGGTGCCTTGGTGTTTGGTTCTGTGCTTGCAATTGGAAGCTGGAAGGTCAAAGCCGGCGGCGCAAAACGAAATGACGCAAAATGGGTCGCCTTGCTTCGACAGTACCAAGAAATGAAGCGTTTTGGGTCGCCTTGCTTCGACACTTCCAAGAAATGAAGCTTTTTGGGTCGCGTGGCTTGGTGTCCGCCAAGATTAAACTGGTGAAGCTGGGAAAACCGCAAAGACAACATGTGCCCAGTATTTTCCACTCTGAAAGAACAAAGACAGTGATCCGTGCACAAAGTTTACTTACTCCAACTTGAATGCCATACATACGGTACATAGTCGAGATAGTCTAGGCCGAGTCTTGAAAGACCAACAGGGATCCCTAAATGCTTGATGAAACTGATCTCTTTGAATACAGTACCGGTACAGTCACTGGAAGTTGCATTGGAATACATAGGTGAAGCTACAGGAGCTAGTGAGGTGTTTGACAATGGGCAAATATTATAAGGATTGCCTGCATCCATTGTGGATAATCTTCTGGCCAAGACGGATGACAGACAGACGAGAGTCCCCAACCTTGAGCTAGCTAGCCAGAGCCATTGTTCGTTGTCTTGATCCACTCTAAGAGTGTATCAAGCCAACTCTTTGGTTGCCCCACCCGCCCTCCCGGTGGCAGGAGAGTCAATTGGCATCACTCAGTCACACTTCATTCACGAGTGATGCGTCATTGCCTCCTCCTGGAGCGCCTGAAAACGGGACTCGCGAGCACCTCTTCCGCGAATCCGCGACTCGCGCGCGGCCGCGGCGCGAATCCGCGAGCGCGGCCGCGAATAACCGCGAATAACCGCGAAAATCCGCGAGATTTAAGATGCCACTTTTAAAAGATATAGAGGAGTTGGTTCTTAAATCTCGCGGATTCTCGCGGTTATTCGCGGTTATTCGCGGATCGGCGGATCGTTTCGTGGATCGCGGATTCGTGGAAAACCGTTAAATCCGCGGATCGTGCCACGATTCGCGGATTATCAGCCGCTCCTGGGGCTCCGGAAAGCTCAAGCGTTGGTGGCTCTTCCCTCAGTCCCGCACGACTGAGAGAAAGCGTGGATCCAAGTCGTATAATCTTTGGCTGTTGCTGTGGATCCAAGTCATTGCAGCCATGTATAAGGGGGTTTTAGAGTAGGGAAATTAGCAGCCATGTCATGGGACAAGGCTTGAACATTGGCATTACGCAGATCTGGAAGCTGCTTGATGAGGAGACAGATGCCAGTACCACGCAAAACAAAAAAGGTCTAGCTGTTTCTTTCTGTCTTACACGCGGCCGTCGTTCCCTTCCCTCCAGCCTCCACAAGCCAACTTCACTCAGCCGACACCATGAGCAGCGACAATTGCTGACACCATCGTTTACTATTGGCACGGGTGGAAAAGTAGAAAGGGTCATCTCGAGGAACAAATATGTAGCATAAACATGAAGGACAGAGCAGGTCGGGATGCCTTTTGAATTTTTGACTGTACATACATTGTAGTCTACTGTTGTGCCTCCTCGGCCTCTTGCAGAAGAGACGTCAGACAGACTCAATGGCCTAACTTAAAGTCAGAACATGGTCGTTTTGAGGTGTGTCTGCAGGGGTGTGACATATATACCGAGGAGCAGTGGCGCTGCTTCCAAACTCCGCACGTTGCACTTCGACAACATCAAGGTGGATTGCCGCCGCGGTTTGGAATATGTTACCAAGCCGATTGAAACTTGCAAGTGCTTGGCTTCCTTGCAATTGTCCGACGTCAACACTGATCTTTCTCAGCATTTCTTTCAGCGCGTCCTTCCAAACGCTTCGACCATTGCAAGCCTTCTCATCAACTTGGGGGTCTTCACACTGGCCTTCTTGCCTACCAATAGAACATGAGTCGAGTCGTCACTTCGTCACTTGCAAAGAAAGCTGACCCAAAGGCTATGAAGGGAGCGTCGTCATCTTGGTGCTGCAAGAGATGATGCTGTTGCAATGCAGTATGTACATCAGCGGCTTCGATCCCATCAACTCGGGGGTCTTCACACTGGCCTTTTTGCCTCGGCGACACCCCTTCAAATGGGGCGAGTGTGTTGGCCTTGTCGTGTTTCACATTTTTCGACTTGGGGGAAGCACTTCCACATCGCAGAAAGAGTTTCTGCAGCAAACCCCAAGCAACCGTATCCAATGTAGAATTAGACAGATCTCTCGTTTCATACTACAATCTCTCGTTTCATGCCATCGCGTTACGGTAGGTGCGAGAGGGTGCAGTGTAATGGCACCAGTAGAAAAGCAGCAAAGATTCATTCCACTGGAGGTAAATGGGTACGTACTGCAGTCTAGGCTGTTGCATGGAGTCGACAGCCTTTCTATCTGCTGCGAACTACCGTCTCAATGCCACGACCGACAATACGGACATGGAGGCCTCTTGTCACAGCGACGACCCACTTGGGCTTGGTTCGTTGGCGCGTCGGTACATGAAGCTAGCATTGTTGAATGGCCCTGCAACTCATCGAGACGGCTCGGAAGAAGTGGAGGCTGCAGAGGGATTGTGCAACTTGGCAAACCCTACCACCACACACCAGGCATCAAAAGCCAATGGATCAGCCGTCCTGCTAGCTGCAAAGCACTGCGTGATTTGGCCGTCGTCGAATGGCAGTCGCTCACTATCACTGCTTCCAGACTATCAAATCACCATGGTGAAGTAGATCTAGCAGCATCAAATATGAACAAAAGCGGAGGAGTACCGGTACCAGTGGCTTGGATCTGTTCTGTTGATTTTTCCACGGTCAAATTTTTGACGCCCACTTGTTGCAAATGGCAAGATGTGTTGTTGTATGTTCCCGATGGAGCATTGGCCGCTGCACATGCCATTTGACGCGCCTGCCTTTGACGTATCATCATATGTCGCTGTTGTTTGCTTGGCATTGGTTTGCAGTCAAGTTGACGGTGGCGGCCCAAAAATGGACGAACACTTCCACGCACCCCGAAGAACAGAGCTAGAAGATTCGCATTGTTGTTTCATGGCAATCCCGCCGTGGTGTCCAGGGCTTTGCCAGTCTTCATTCTCCAAGAAGCTCGCAAAATTGGGACTTGCTGTCACTCTGAGTGCCATGGTCAGGTTGGAAAAGACACCGTTGAGTCGGTGGATTGATTGGAAGACATAATCTCACTGGCCTCCTCACAAGTTTCTAGGAGTGAGGAGCTGCCCAGGAGACGCGAGGGAGGATGGGATCCAGAAGGCTTATGGCAGTTGGCTCCGTGGAAGAGAAGCAGCGTCATTGTCGCTCCACGAAGTCCGTCGATTGGAAGAAGTGTGGTTCGGTGACATAGTTGTTATTGATAGCATCGTGGTTGATCCAAACCTGCTCTTGACGCCCATTTGTCCATTTGTCGTACTGTAGGCCGCTTCCAATTCCTGTGGCTTCTTGGCAAGCACCACACTTGAGTACTCAAATGCCTATCCAAACAAGAGGAGTCTGTCATATGGTGGACTATGGTAGCAGCAGCCAATGCTCGCTTCAGAGGCAAGTTTGGTCGCATCCATCATGGGCAGTGGGCACATCGTCCGAACGTCGGAAGAGTGCTTACTCGTACCTGGTAGTCTACATACTATGGGAGTAGTCTAGGTAGAGCTCTGCATCTGGATACGGATCTGTTGGATACGGCATTAGGGATGAGGCTAAAAGAGAGTCTTTAAGTCTGTTCATTAGTATAAACGCAGCCTGCTGGTTTAAACATTGCGAGATGACGGTTGCTCGACCATTTTTTACTCATTTTCCGTTGTCGGCTGAGTTCTTGGATTGAGATTCATTCAACATCATCGACCCTACAATGGTGCCCCCATTCAATCTTTTCAATGCACTCGTCACAGTACCAGTACTTGCTAGTATCATCTGTGCCACTCTTGTCTTCCAAGGAGGGATTCAACTTCTCAACTTTTGGAGCATTTCTGTTGTTGTCATCAGTGCCGTTACTTTCTTTCTCCTTCCCTGCCTTTTATACAACTGGCATCGACGAGTTGCTCTCTCTTTGGGAGGAGTACATGTCAAAGTGATTGATGGTCTTGTGAAGCTGCGCACACTGGAGGCTTACCTTCGACCTTTGGACCCAAGCAACCAAAAGCACTTTCTACTCCACCTTCCATCCTTGATTGCTGCCTCGCCCCAGCTTACAACAATCAAGTTTGACAGCTACTTGGTTTCGACGTTGGATCATGTTTGGCCAATCATCACTCCTCTTCTCCACAAGGCCATTACCTCATGTCCGACGCTCAAGGAAATTCATTGCACACTTTGTCACCCTGCTCATGTCGAGGGGCTTGCAACCCTAATTTCCCAGTGCACAAGCCTTGAAAATCTCAACATTGCTCTCAGTATTATTGATGTGCACGGTGCAGATCACTATTTTGACTCTATCAAGCAGGCGATTCGACATCATCCAAATCTCAAAGCCTTGGTTTTGCGTGCAGGAGCGGGAATTGGTTGGAATCCAGCATGGTGCTCCCTTGATCTGCCACAGTTGATCTTCGATCTACAAAACCTAGAGTCCATTCAATTCAAAGGTCTAGGTGTCGCCGGAATCTCCCTCGAGGATATTGCAGCTGTTATTGAGGCTCACAACAAGTTGAAGATCTTTGGAATAGAGGCTGAGGACCCTGCCCTGGATTTCTATTGTCTTGATCTTCAACATCGAATCATCAACCACCTTGCACTCAATCGGGCCCTGGCCATGCTTGGCGCCAATCCTACCTTTCGAATTTGGGTGGTGACCCTGACCACCTTTCGCCATTACCCAACTGTGGTGGATTACCTTGTTGGCATTGGGATTCCCAATGGTGGTTGTGTCATGAATGTGTGGGCCCAGGCTGCCTTGGATGGTTTGAATGCTCAGTCTTCTCACCCTCCCGTGCATCTCCGCACCATCAAGAAGAGCTGGGAGGAAGTGTGCTTAGGAAGCCGTGTCTGGGACCGCAATCGAAAACAGATCTTCTCGCTGCCTCCTATTGAGAAACTTTGGGCAAGTGGACGCACCTCATACCCTTATGATCCCCGTCCCATCATGATGAAGTTTCACCCTAGTGATAACAATTCCAATGCCATTGAGTGGGGCGAACCTAGCAACCTTCGAACCAGACCCACCCTCGTCCCCGTCGTCCCAGCCAAACAAACCACCTTTGTGGACACACTACGAACCATTGTTGCAGGGATGTTCATTACCCTTGTCTCCGCCGTGCAAACCCTTGGAGCGGCCTCACCCTTGTCACCTGGAGCTGCATTACCTTTCTTCAACTACTAAGTTACCTTTGCCCTGGAAACCAGCCATGAGCAGCCTCTACGCCAAAGTGGGAGAAGCCCAGAACATGGCAGGACAACATGCAAAGCCAGCTATCTCCCTTGGAGCCTTTGATCCAACCAGATTTGGCAATGAAACCACAGACACAAATCATAATTAATTAATTTTAAAAAAGGCACATCATTACTATTAGAGCATATCTGTTTCAACTAAATGTAGAATCGTGCCATTGCAAACTGTTTGTGCAGCGGCGCCCACGAAGCAGCAAGCAGCATTGAAACTGCATTGAAACACCCCAGGCACGTGCATCTGTTTAGGCACAAAGAATCAATGTTGGGTTGACTGCTGCTAGTCCCAAGAGAGGTCTACTTGATCAGTGAGCCTCCAACTTTACTGATTCCCCAAGTAGGCTTGCCAGCGTTGGGTCTCGTGTAGGGAAGATTGTTGTCCTCCAAAAACTGGTAAACCCAATGGATCCACCAATGAAAGGTCAGCTTCTCCCAGTTGAACAAATGCCAGCTCTGCAAAACTTGAAGGTACTTTTCTTCCAACATCTCTGGTGTCAAATCTGCAAAGCTTTCCACTACTAGCACTGGCAAATCATTGAAAGTCCGAAGCCATCCATCAGGGCTTCTTCCCACCATTTCAATGATTGGAACCACTCCCATGAAAAGGGCCTCCCAGTTTCGATAACAGTCAAAGCCAGCTCCACCAGGACTCAGAATGAATTTGGCCTCTGACAGTTGCTCAAAGTATCCCTCTAGATTGCGCTTGGGGCTGCCACCCCAGGATTGCTGCGTGCTGACACTGGTCGAATTGACAAAGTTAGTTCGAATCTGCTGCATGGCTCGTTCTCGATTGCCACCCCGAACATTAAAGTTCAACATGAGTTTTCGTGGCCGATGATTCCACGAGGGATCTGTGGGTGGTTTCAGTTTCTTGATTACACTGTAGGCTGCTTCGGCTTGTGTACGGAAACGCATACCTAGTGCTATTGAGTACGTTTTGGGATGGTCGATGCGAAAATGCCACTGGCAAGTAATGGCGGCAATGGTATCAGGATGATCCAAATACTTGATAATATCCCTGGGCTTGCAACCCGCCTTTTTCCATTCCCCGTCTCGATTGAATCCAACTGTTTCTCCATTGATTTTGCCACTCAATCCACCATTGTCTTCATGCAGTCCAAACAGCAAGACATGTGGCCAGGATTTGTTCTGCGCAATCGTATCCGGGTGTTCACGAAACTGATTAAAGATTCTGGCCGCATGACACAAGCTTGTCTTGTGTTTGGGAACATGAATGAGATGATTGTTTAGTCGATTGCCGAGCACAGGAGAATCGTGGTTGGTGACGACCTGTTTTTGTTCCAAATGATAGTCGAGATCTTTGGAACTGACCATGTAGGCATCAACGTGTTCAAAAAAGAACTTCCATCCTCCCCGTGCTTCAAAGACTTGAATATCAGTTTTTCGCAATCTCATGAGTTTGTTGAAATGATTTTGATAATGCTGGAGTTCCAATTGGGTGTAGTTGTAGTTGTAGGTTCCATTATTATGATCGGCATGGTAGTTGTTGATTTGGGCCACCAAGCGGTCGTTGTGGCTGTTGGTGGTTCGGTAGGCAGTAGTAGTAATAGTACTTGGAGGGCTGGTAGTAGTATTATTTGGCATGCTGGTGGTGGTGGCAATGGGATTGGTAGTCTCTTTTGTAGCATCCACCATATCAGCGGGGGTAGTCGTCGTGGAGGATGCATTCGAAGTGGTCGTGGAGGCTGGATCCGTCGTAGTCGTTGTTGTTGATGTCGTTCTGTTTCCACTTGCCAACTCAATATCTTGCAAGATTGTCACCAGAGTGACGGCATCCATTCGCTGGAATATAGCTGGGTGATACTTTTTCAGCTGACCCAGAGTGACCCCCATGAATGTATCCTTTTCCTTGGGAATTGTGGGCACACGGATATTATTGCTATTGTTGCTGTTGTTGTCGTCAAGCTGTTTTGCTTCGTTGTGTCGGAGCAGCCAATAGATGGTGTCTTTCAAGAATATCATTTTGGTCTCGGGAGTCAGCTGTTGTTCCGTGGGCATTGGTACACCCGTCATGTTGGAGAGAGCTTGCATGTTTTCAAGATCTGCATTATTGCTGAGTAGTGTCATGATTGGCTGTTGTTGTTCTTGTTGTGGAGGCTCTTGCTCCACTGGAGGGGGGTTGTTTTCCTTTTTGTTTCTCCCTCGTCGTCCCTTTTTCTTCTTCTTTGGCTTTTTTGCAGCAGGAGGAGGAGGTGGGGGAACCGTAGTTGTGTCAACCGGTGGTGGCTCCACAACAGGAGTTGCGTCTTCTGCTGTGCTGGTTTCCGTAGTTGTAGCTGGCTGTTCTGTTTCTATAGAAGGAGCTTCTGCAGACAATGTACTGTCCGTATCTGCTGCAGCTGTTTCTGCTGATTCTGGAGATGTGGTGATTGCCTCGGTTGTACCAAGAGTTGTTGTGTCTGCTGTTGTAGTTACCGGTATGTCTGCTGGTAAGCTGGTTTCTGTCGTTGTAGCCAGCTGTTCTGTTTCCATAGGAGGTGCTCCTGCTGATTCTGTTTCTGGAGTGTTGATTGACTGGGGTGTACTGACAGTCGTGTCGGTTGTTGATTCTGGAGTAGTGGTGATTGACTCGGGTGGTGGAACAGCAGCAGAGTCTTCTTGTAGCTGCTGCTGTTGCTGTTGCTGTTGTGCTCTTTTTTGCCGTTCCCATTTTTTTCGATTTCGTCGTTGTGATGGTGTCAAATAGATTGGTTCTGTGGGAGTAGTTGTCGTTGTTTCTGTTTCTTGTACTGGCACAGCTGGAACAACAGGAGCTTTTTCAGTTTCCACTATTGCCTCTTTTTCGGATGTTGTCGTAGTGGTTGTATCAGCTGGTGTAGTGATTGTACTCGTAGAAGTAGTTTCTTTTTCTTCTTCTCTGCGTTGTTCTTGTACTGCTGCTGCTGTGGAATGATTATGAATATTCCGTGTCGCATTATTATTGGCCACTACGGACTGCGACACAACAATCAACTGCGATCGTAGATAGAAATGATCGACAAAAATGAATAAAATCATTCCGGCAAACAAGAGTCGATGGGTATCACTCCATCCCATCACGCCACCACCGCCATTGGTAGGAGTGTTTTTCTTGGCAGGACTTTTATTATTATTGGGGGTAACTTTACTGGTAGCATCATCGCCACTCTTGGTTCTCTTGACGCTTCTCATCTTGTCTTGATTTTCTAAAGAAAAATATATATTCAATCAATCAATCAATCAATCAATCAAGCTTGTCTCGTTGTCTCGTCTGCGCACTAAAAGTAGACTATGGTAAAAGGGATGTGTTGTGATGAGAGCAACCGATAGAGCTCCACCAAGTATGCATAGCAAGGAAGAGGCAAACCGCAAAGAAACAGGTCTAGGTGTCCTGGTGAGATCCTTGAAGGTCGCATTGATCTTTGTTGAGCGAACATGCAATGACACGCCGAAGATCGTGATTGAATAACAGACGCTCTATTCATACATTTAAGGATAAGATCCCCTCTTCTGTGACTGAACCTCATTTACTATTAGAAGGGAAGAGCATTCCCAACTCCCAACGGTACCTTGATGACCTCACTGGTAAGCGAATAGAATTGAAGCTGCATCCTGCCAAAATAATGTTCCGCGCTTTGTGAAGCGATCTGGTCCGCCATTTATTTATTCCTTTCAGTCGATCCACACCATGCTTCCTCTATTTCTCGTCGGCAGTGTGGTATTGTCGTTTGTGATATTGGCCACCATGCCCAACAACAACAACAACAGCATCACTTCCCCATTCCAAGTGCCTCAAATGAATGGTCCTCCGAAATGGCTGTCGAAAGAAAAGTACATTTTTCTGTTTGTGTTGCTATTTGTCTTTTTGGATCATTTTTATTTGCGACAGGAAATGATGTTTTTTGGAACGGCGGCCAAGGGGATGCTAGAGAATCAACAGGAAACTTCTGCCAATCATACTACTAGTACTATTAGTAGTAGTAGTATTCATACCATTCCTACAGAAGAACGAATGATGGAGCAATCGTCACCAGCAGAACAAGAACAACAAGGTGTGAGTGTTACAGCCGATGACGGTGAGCAACAGCAACAACCACAACCACAAGAAGAAGAACTCCAGAAACAAGCGGCAGCTGCCAAGGAACGAGAAGAGCAACAAAAAGCCAAGAAATTGCGTCAGAAAAAAGAAAAGAAGGAACGTGCCAAGGCGGTTGAACAAGCACGCATCAAGGAAGAGGCAGAAGCACTGCGCAAAAAACAAGAGGAAGAAGCAGCGGCGCTTCAGAGACAACAGGAAGAAGAAGCTGCCCGTCAGAAACAACTAGAAGAACAAGCGGCACTCCAGAAACAACAAGAAGAAGAAGCCAAAGAAAAGGCCGAAAAATTGCGACGAAAACAGGAAAAGAAAGAACGAGCCAAACAACAACAACAAGCTGAATTGGAACAACAAGCAGAATTAAAGAAAAAGCAGCAAGAAGAAGAAGAAGCACTCCAAAAACAGCAACAAGAAGAGGAGGAAGCCGCCAAGCTGAAGAAACAGGAAACACCGCGACAAAAGCAACAACGAGAAAAACGAGAACGGAAAGCCAGAAAACAGCAATCTCCAGCAACAGCCACTGTCGAAGTACCCAAAACTACTACTACACTACCACCCCTGCATCCACCCCTCGCGGGCAATTACAAGGCATCCAATGGTACTTTTGATTATATCGATCTCGAACGCAAATTCTACCAACGCCACTACGATATGCTGCACAACACGAATCGCAAAGATTACATGGTCTGGGATGCCCGGGCTAGCTTTGAATCTTTTTTCAATCTCGTCAATGCCTACAAAATCACCAAACGCGATTTGGAATATCACATTGAGCAAAAACAAGTGGGCGACACAAGTAAAGGTCCACTACAAGGCAATCACAATGACAATCGCATCGTCTTTTTCCCCAAACACATGGACAGTCTCTGTCAAGCCACACTCATTTTCAATCAATATCGAGATGCTACTGCTAACAACAGTAAACCGTGGCCCCATGTCCTCTTGTTTGGATTGCACGAAGATCACGGTGGACTGTCGTCCAAAATACCCGGTGAGACGACCGGATTTGGTCGTGACAAGCACTGGCGGAAAATGGGATGTACCGTACCCGAAATTCGACGCTATCTCAATCACAACGATACACTGGCGGCCATTACCAGTCAATGGCACTACAACTTTGACAATCACAAGACTCATTCCATTGCATTAGGAATGCGGTTTCAAACCCAAGCAGAAGCCGCCTATAAAATCACGCAACAGCAACAAGCACCCGTGGAAAAACAACCCAATGCGACCCGTCCGCGACCGCTCATGCTCAATTTCAATGTCCGCGCGGGACTCCGACAAGAAGCCATGGCGGCCGTCGAACGCAACTTTCGTGGGAGTGGGATTAGTACCAAACAAACGTGGGGAGGAAGTCCCAAGCGGGCCATGGAAAACTATTTTGAACAGTTGGCTTCTTCCAGGTTTATACTGAGTCCAGGAGGCGCCGGATTCGATTGTTATCGGAATTGGGAAGCTCTGTTCATGGGGGTGAGTTCTGTGCTCTCTAGCTAGCTAGCTAGAGTCGAGTCGAGTCGAGTCAATCAACATTGCATACATGTCTGGAAGTGGCTCTCAAGTCTAACCTCTTTCTTTCTTGTTTCATTCTTCTAGACAATTCCCATTTTGGAAATGGCTGGACGGACTCACGATGGATGGTTGCGATCCTTTACCGATCTGCCCGTTCTAGTGTTGAATCGATATCACGAATTGACACCGCAAGTGCTAGAGGAAAAGTATAGACAAGTACTACAGCATTGGGACAGCTACAATTGGGAAAAGTTGACCAAGCATTGGTGGCCATTGTGGGTGTACAGATTCTTGGAAGACAACAATTTGCCAGTCTTTGAGAAACCAAAAGAACTATTGAAGTATCAATAATCATCAATCATAACTTGGTTAGACTTGCCAGCAGGGAAAGGATCGAGCAAGGCATAGCAAGAGACAACGTCAGAGGGCGTGTGATCAAACCAATGCAAATGTTTATAACGTTTTTCTGTTTGTGTATCCCTCAGCCATGCGTCTCGAGTATTATTTGCTGTAGCCTGCTGATCCCGTTCTCCATCCATGCGTGGGTGCACGGAGTTTGGCATCGAGTTGACCCAGCCGTGCCGCCAAGGCAGTCGACAGCCCCAAAGTGAAGGATCTTCCCTCACCGTGCATGATCATGAGTAACCACAGCAGATCCCAGTCTTCGTCTCCAGGCGACTACTTACTTGAATGGGGAACACGTCAACCAACCATTCCGGCATCAGAACCAAGGCGCTCACAAGTGATTGGTTTGATTGGATTCGTACAATCCAATTCGCTCGTCAAAGCCCTCCATGGCTGGCTGTTTCCGCTCTCACTTTGGTATCATTCTGCTGGGGTGTGGAAATGAGTAAACATCGCTTTTGTCTCTATTAGATCTCTCAGGTCGAAAGGAGCTGACGGCAATCTCAAGCAAAGTAAAACCACGTAGCCCACGGCGCCGCCAACACGAACAGCCAAAGCACCATGGGGGCGTGGGCTCTGGTGTTGGGCCAGGAGTTGGTGGTGGTGTAGGAGGAGGGGTTGGCTCTGGTGTTGAGTTGGATGATGATGAGACAATCACAACGACCAAATCAAGACGACACCAAATAGGTGGTGTTATAGGTGGATTTGTGGGATGATTTGTTGGTTGGGCTGTGGGATGATTGGTTGGTGGAGCCGCAGGAAGTGTAGTAGGATGATTCGTCTTGAGCCCAACCAGCCCAAGAGACCAAGAAGAAGACTGGAACCATGGCTTTGGTACGTCAAGAGAGAGAAGAAGTGCAAGACTTAAGCTACCTACGAGTGAACTTTCGAGCTGGACGCCACAACCAGCCAACCAGACCAAGGGCCACGGCACGGAGAGAAGGAACCAGCCAACCGACCAAGGGTAGGGACAAGGCCAAGGGCCACAGAGCACCAAGGTAGCCAATGGGTTTTTCTGTTCGTATGGGTGCTTGCTGTAGTTGAGAGGCAGGGTGAAACAAAGTCCGGAAGGGGACCGTTGCAATCAGGAGAGCACAGCGTTGACATTGGTGGTGGTGTGGGGAGCTCTGGTTGGAGGGGGTGTTGGACCAGGGGGTGGTGGAGGTGTTGGTGGTGGAGTTGTACGTACCTGAACAATTCGAGTTCGGACTGTTGCTGCTCTTGTACAAAGGCAACGGCTGACCGACTCTCGTGCTATTCGATTGCAGTCGTGTGATTGCCGCTCTGGTAGATGAATGCTCGCTGCGTGGTGGTCTTCGATTTCAGTTCCGAGGCAGCGCCTGGAACAAGAAGAGGTTAGACTTGAGCTGAGTACAAAAAGCAATGAAGATTGTTGGCAGAGGCTGGGTCCTTCATGGAGTGAAGAGGTCTTGGGTTGCCACTTGGAGGAGGCGGCGCCGTGGTGGAAGACGCGTGCGTGCTGGCAACGGCTGGGAAAGTTGTTGGAGAAAGGAAGCTTTTTGGCAAAAGCAAGACGTATCGACATGTTTCGGCCGCCCATGGTAATTACCTTCGCACCCTTCAAACTCACCGCAACAGACTCAAGCAACTCAAGACACCAGCAACTCAACTTCTCATTCACGTTCTTGTAGAGCTAGTAATTCTTGGATTTCCCTTTCTATGAGGGCGCAGCTTGTAGGGAATCGGTGTACTAGTAAACTAGAGCAGATCATAGAGAAGCAAAGGAAGGAAACCTGCAAATAATTCTAGTACCATAGTTGGAAGAACACTATAGGCCGGCGCTGGGAGGTTCAGCATGGGGAGTGTGGAACAGGCATGAAAGAAGATTATGATGAGGGGAAGAGGAGGATGAGATGACGTACAATCTAGCAAAGACAATCCACTGCAAAAGAACGATCTCCTACGAGACCACAGGGCAGGGTGTGGATTGCTGGCAAATGGCCAGCCACCCACTACTGATCATGGACTACAAATAATGGTGAGCTGCTCATAAAAGACTGCAAGCAAATAAAAAAAAAAGAGAGAGATGTACTAGTCGTTCTTGACAAGCAACCAAACCCCTACCAGTCAGCACCACCAACAAATCATCCTACCGGTACACACAGACCTTGGCTCGAGCTCCCACCTACCAACCCTACGCCCTCGCTTCACCAACCAAATTGGGTGCCTTGCTTCCCGCTTCACCAACCAATTTGGGGGTGCCTTGCTTCCCGTGATGCCATGCCAGACACCAAGACCACAGCTCATCCTCATTTCAATGTCTGACAGAGCAATGTTGGTTGCTTGATGGTACCTCTGTGCTGCTCACTGTTGGGTCGGTGTGTTGTCGGTTCCTTACCGTGATGTAATCTGTTGGTGTGTGTCTCTGTTGGCTGTTTTGGTTAGTGTTGGTGGTATTGCA